AAAGAGCAGTTACCATATAGTTGAGCAACGAAGCAACCGGCCAAGGCGTAACAAGGGTTAGCTCGGAGGGGTTGGAAAGTGGAAAAGGAGATGGTTTCTTGAATCGTGCCTGTAGAAGCTACGCGGAGTTACTCCTACCCTTAGCCAGATCCATAACTAGCTTCAGTTCCAAGACAAGGAAGGCAGCGCTCCTCGAGTAGGTATATGCCACCCGTCGTTGTTGCTACCGCCACGGTTACTGCAATAGCAGAAACTGTCGAGTTAAGTAACTGCTGGTACTTACAGTAACTTCGCGCGCAATGAGACCGCCTACATAAATACACCTAATACACTGGTACCCTTTCCCTTGCTCCACAGCCAGCGATCCACTCGTATTCGCTCGCAACCTGCATGATATACCCTATACCCCTTCGTTGCGGTAAATTCCAACGCCGCGCCGTGTGAGACTCTACCATTGCCTTTCGCCATGGTACGATAGCGCACGATTTCTGTCATACGGTTGCTTTTCATTATTTCCTCTTCTTCATTCAATTATTTCATCCTGTTTACCATAACATCATGTGGAGCGAGTAAATTACGATCGTGGTTAATTGATTTTTTAATTAACTGACTGGGCTTCGTCGAGAAGTGGTATTTAATGAAACATCGTATGACACCGGTAATGAATTCATTATTAATTTCTGTTGTTTGATTGTTTTGAATGAACGATGAAATTTGTTTGATATCGTTTGTTCGATCTTAGAAACAACAACGTACCATCGCAATGAAGAGATTCTGATTTATCTGTACAAGGATTATAAGAAGAGTAAAAGTAACAGAGTAAACGGAAAGGGAAGCTGGAAGAAAATGAACGCAGCTTTTTGTATTAATAATCCCTGCATCAAACTCAGCAATGAGTACTTAAAGATTAAAAGGTGTTCACGGAACCGTGGCCTCGCAGAAGACGAAGGTTCTTTCTATTCACATTTAGTGAACTTAAAGTAAAATTCCTTTCCTTAGCCTATAATTTCTCCTGTCGCTTCAGAGCTCGTTATCTCTGACAAAGACTCCATTCGCCTAAAGGTGATAAAAAATCTCATTATCTCGGCGTAAAGATTACTCTCCAGATTTATTATGACGTTATCCTTCCATCATAGTACGCTGTACTTATCGTTCATAATTCCTACGTCGAAGATCGGAAAACTCAGTCGGCTGCCAGCTGAAAAACGATCGAATTAAAACACTTCATCGATTTTCAAACACTTCGTCATCTGTCAATTACGTATTACCAATGATAAATATTTCTATTGTCAATGACTCTGTTTCTTGCAATCGAACGCAACATTCAATGACGATGGAAATCTAGTTTCCCGTAGATCATCCTTATGAATCCTATAATAATAGGATCATCCGATGGATAATCCATAAATCCTTTACAGATTATCTCTATTAAGTCCCGAAGTAACTCTTCGCCGCTTCTCGTGATTCTGAAACCACCAAGTACGTTACCAGGGTAATTCCATCATCGACGATAGCGCGAGTTTCATTCTGTTCGTCGAATCGTTCAATCATCGCGTCGGCCGACGTAACGTTACCGTTCAAATAAACGCGGCTTCACCTGATTTCACCGCGGATTCGCTTCCGCCCCATCCATCTCGGCTGGCCTTACAAGGCGAGAGCTCTTTTCCACAGGGTAGAGAGGGTGTGACAAACAAATGCACCACGTCAGCCCGGCGTGACACTCTTCCGTAGTTGGTTCGCCTCGGCAAAGAGAGAGGAAGGCGAGCGCAGAGAAGGGCGGCTAAGGCGAAGAGGCTGCTGGCTAAAGTAGAAGCCGTGCTCAAGTAGACAAGGGACACGTCAGCCGTCATCCTTCTACTCAGCCTTTTTATAGATTATTCACGTACAATGGTCGAGTGACAAGTGGCGGGCCACGATACTCGAAACCATGAATCTACGCCTCTCCTTTATCCTCGTCATTCAGGGAAATCTCGACTTTTTCTTGCCTCGGAAAAGGTAACTATCATAGGTGACTTGGCGAGGAGAGATAACTAAACGATCAATTTCGAAGTCTATGTACATATTTTTCGATGACGGTTCCGACGGGATTATTGTTGAGCAAATGCCATGATAAATGGATCGTTGGTTTTTCAGCAGCAATAATGTGCATTCGAAAAATTTTTATCATGCAACCATTCATTTCAATTAATTAACTTTGATCGATGTGAATTATTAGTGTAAATTTTACAACCAAATGGACCAAGGCTTTATAAGAAATTTTATAAAATATTTACAGATTTACAAATTTGAATAATTCGTTCTAAAATATTGTGAGATAAATTTCACCATTGGCAACGAATCACAGAGGAAGTAAAATCTCGGTAAAATTCGAAAGGCATTGAATCCTTTACGCGTCCACTTCAGGGCTGTTGTAAAGCATCGAAAGGTATTGCGCTGCATATTGTCACTTTAGAATTCAACGAGAAACAGATGCAACCTGTGTGAAATTACATGATCGATAAATTTATCGCGAGCACTACGCTTGTGATTCCATTTCGTATATAACGTCATAAACACCGCGTGATAAAACGTGCAAGAATAGCTAGTAGAAACGTTTGTAAATGCATGGACATGGAGGACCGTCGATGTTTCTCACGGTATTCGGTATCGCTCTGTTTGGTGTTTTAATGTTGATTGGACCACTGCCAACTCAGCCGGCGTTCGTTTGCCGCGATTGTTGTTTCGACGCTGGTCGCGGTCGAGCGAGAATTTTCAAAATTCTGCATCCACGTACGCGAACTAGAGCAACGTAACCATACGCGGATAGATCGTCAGCAAAATCGGAAACGTGGATGGATTTATTCCGTTTCAAACATTAATACTCCGTTTCACAATTTTTATTTCACGTTTCTATTTTTCGCAAATCTTCTCTGTTATTTTTAACGCAGCAGTCGAAGTGTTAAAATAAATTTGAAAAAAAAAAAATTAAACTTCCAGCAATGGATGAGTAATGCAATCGGTATTCAATTAAGAATACCTTTTCCAAACAATCGAAACTTGAAATTGCTATTTCACGACTGTAAATAATGATGTGCGAAATGTACAGCTCTACTGTATAACTATTTACAACCCTTTCAACAGTTACGATATTACATTCTGTTTTAATCGGTATTTACGTAGTTGCGAGGTTGCATTTACACAGATTTGTGCCCGGCATAACATACGTGGTGAAAATTTGTAATTGTAAGCTGATTTAGTTAGCTGGTGTAAATTCAACTGTTCCCAGTTACTCTCACTTTATCACGGCTAATAGATTTATTGCTTGAGTAGAGACATGTATATGGGGGCGTATTGTTATTATAAGGAGGGATCTATGGAAGCTATGAAACTGTCACGTAACCAGCTGAACAGTTGAGATATATGTGTGCACAGTATGAATCTAAGTAAACGCTTGAATATGAAAGCCGGTTCGACTACGATGCACACATACGGAAATTTTGATGGAACAATGCTTGCTTAAGCAATCTCTTTGGTACATCAACAGATTCGTCAGTGCATTTCAATTTGAAACAAAGATTTCTCAAAATGATAAACGATACTCGTACAATAAGTGAGAAGACATCTCAATTATGCGTTAAATTTATTATGAATTCGTAGCGTAAATCATTATTATCAAAAGTAAATATTTCATATCATAACTAATATAGATGACAAGAAAATATTATTGTTAATAAGGATTAAAAAACATACTGTTACATCAAAATTTTTATATAACGTACAGCTTCATTTCGTCTAAATTTACATTTAAACAATTATACAATGAAAGCCAAGAAATTCAGTTCAAAACGTGAGTCGCCTTTCCCGAACGATCCGCGTAAATCAGGTTGCGCGGTCGAGCAGCTTGAGCGTGACATTCGATTCCGCAAACAAGCCGGAGAATCTGCCAATTTCGGCAATCCATGATACCGTGTCCCGTGGCTCGTAAATTCCCCCGAACGAGGGACAAAAATGGGCAAAGTTCACGCGACACCGATTCCAGCGAGCTAACGCTTCCTCCGCTCGTATTCCGGTCGTAGCTCGTCCTCGTAGATTCACGTGTCGCGTGCTCGAACCTGATACACGAATGGAAGTCGTGCGGTTCGATGTTGGGGAAACGATCGAGTCGTAGACGGGGGATGAACAAACAGCATCGAGTCCATAAAAAATTCAATTCACACGCGTGTTCGAGGGAAAGAAAAGCGTTTCGAAAAATTGTGCAATCTAGAGCGTTCTCGAGAAAAAGCGAGGGAAACTCACGTAACGGAGGTGAAATGAAGAGAGACCCGTCGGAGGAATTGGCGCGTTTGGTTTCCTGAAGCATGTATGCCTCGTAAATAACATGTAAATATTTTCAATAACTGCACACCGAGAGCCTGCATGAAAAATGCAAACCGCTTTGCGTCCGGTCCTCGCCACGCTATCGTAACACGGCTGCACCCGGCACCGTTCCTCCGACCCTCCTCGGGCCACCCTAGATTGGCCAGACCACCCTCTTCAGCCCACCCGTTCCATCCTCGCTGTTGCTACGCTTTCCTCGGCAAACTATCTTTTAATATATCTGTATGTACACGGTGTCCCGCGTGAAATTTATGGCACCGGACGCCGGCCGATATTTGTTTCACTCGAGGGCCGACTTCGCCCTCCGCTTGCCTTAAACTCTGTCCGGTGTTATATGTTCGCCTCGTGTTTGCCATGGTTGCCGGTTCGGAAAAAGAGCTACTGCATGGAACGAAATAATTCCGTGAATGCGATGTCGTGACTTTTGTCCGGCATTCTAGCGGCCGACTACGTGGCAGGCTGCTGTTAATCCTGTTGAGGGTGAACTTTCGGTGGGATGGGTGCCATGTAATCCTTGTTATCATTCTATGAAAATAGAGAAGGGTTGGTAATACGTGGAATTGTTTGTTAATTTTGAAATATTATATTGTTTCAAGTATATTTTTACATTTTATAAAACTAACATAAAATTATTTATGTTACAGGGGCTTTGGATTCATCACGTTCGCAGATCCCGCGAGTGTGGACAAAGTGCTGGCACAGGGTAATCACGAGTTAGACGGCAAGAAAGTAAGTACTCCAAATTATAACTAAAAAAATTTATGATTTGTTCTACTGAAAAATAATTTTCCCGTATCTTTATCGAAACTATCAAATAGTGCTCGTAATCAGAAACTCGCGAACGATGAAAATTCGCGTTTCCGTCGGTAGGTATCGAGCATTTTCGCTCGCACCATCGTTTTTTCGTTTCCTAGCAACGTGTAATCACTTCGCCGTTGTCCGAACTGCTTTTGCACGTTGCTGCGAGATACTTATCGAACGCGGGTAGGTTGTTGGAAAGCGGGCACGTCTTGGTGGCGGCGTCCTGTTACGCACTAATTAGGGGATCGTTAGTTCGCCGTACGTAACGACCACTTAAGGTCGGCGATATCCATTCGCGGAGCCGTGAGAGGCACGTTGAAACAGTGACAAGCAGAAAAAAGGTAATGAGACGCGGCACGAGAGAGCTGACAGGCGAGAGTCGAACGAAGAAAGATGTATCGATTGTCTGCCGCACGAAGACAGCTGGACGAGAAAAATCGGTTCGCACGATTCTCGCAATCAAATGTGTGTCGCGAGAGCAATTAACTGTCGCGTAGTTCCTGATCGAGATAATTGATACACCGCGGTCTCGGTTAATTGATCATGCTGATAGATAAATATTGCCGGTGTCTGGATTCCTGCGCTCGATATTTGTCTCGACCTGCTAGCGCAAGAAATTGATTGGTTATTGGAATTGCGTTCGAGGATACCGGAACAGAACGCACGATAAGAAAATCTTGGCTGATGTATGATAATAAAATATGGATGACAAAAGAGGAAAATTTTAGATACGTGAATCACATTCGTTATTTGGTATACTACTAGCCATTTAATTAGCGATCGTGTTGTACATGTACATCCGTTTAATCAACCCCTAATTATCATTAACGTATCTTAACATGATCGCTGCCCTGGTGGTCAGCAGTAACCGAAACAAAAAAAGTAAGGAAAAAAAATCAAAAACATAAACGGTTTGGATTACCATGAGTATTTAATTAATAACAAGAAGTATAAAAATTAAACGATTAAATCAAGAAACGATAAGGACTAAATAAAGTAATTATGTTAAATTTATTTGTACATATAAAAATGATTTCAAAGATAAAAGGACACCGTCGTAGTTGAAATTTAAACGAAAAGAAGAGGGGGTAAACAAATGTTTCGTTTGCCGTGTAAGTAAGCGACCTTCTTCAGTACGAAGTAGTCTCTCGTTGTAACGAGACGGGTGTAAACATACGTGGTCACGAAAGGCAACGATTTCAACGACGAAACTTTTGGTCGGTCGTTTCACGCGTGCTTAGACAATTACGAACGCTGACGAATCCAGCCGAATCGCCTCGTTTGGTCCTCGCATTGACCGGAACGATGCTTTCGCCAGTGATTAATCGTCCGCGCCGGGACGTGGCACGGTTTGGCAAATTCGTTGCTGTCGCGCCTCGCTCTCGAGGAGACAATACGGTGGGAATAATATCGTAAGGTAGCGGCGGATAACAGTGGATAGCAGCGGGCGGACAGAGAGAAATAGTTGCGGACATTAGCTGTCCACGGAACCATAAGTACGACGACTGTGCGGCCGCTTCCGTAAGTACTCTGAATACGTATTAACCGTAGCAGCGGCGTTGCCATGGGTATATCCAGACTCACATAAATTTCGCGTAATTCGCTCGCCTAATGCAAATTGCGAGCACGCTACGCCCGCAGTCTAACACCTCCTCGATAGCACACAAGGAAAGATATAGCGACGCGCGCGCGCGCAATCTGCCGCATCCTATTAAGCCCTCCAACCTATCTCTTCTCTCTTCTTCCTGTTTATCTCCTTACAGCTATTTTTTTCCTTCTTGTGACTATGTTAGGGCGAGTTCATGTTCAAGATATTTAAGGGTAAATTATGTTACTTTCGAAAGTAACGATGTTCTAGGTTACATCTAGTGAATTGCAAAAGATGCGTTTCTCTGTACAACTACCCGCTGTTTACATTTTTTCTGTCCTCGTTTCAATCATATACTTTCAAGATGAGACAGAAAGCGAAGAAGCGCGGCAAGGTTCGTCACATTAATTAGCGGATCGTTCGTTCCCGTCCGTGTTAACGAATGCTCTTGTGTAATTCTGGAGAGGTCCTTGGGTCGTGTTGCAGCGCGACAAGAAATAAACGAAACAAAACGTGAGAGGAGAAGCGGATCGAGACGCAGACCGGAAGTCACAACTCTTCCATCGCGGCTTCTTCGCTACTGTCTCGAAGCGTATCGGAAAAATACGCGTTGAATGAAATTTGTCGCGGCTTTTGTTGAATAAAAAGGGACTCGAGGCAAACACAATTCACGATTACCTACTTCGCTGACTTTCAGTCGTTTTATATTTCGCTCGAGGATACTTCCCTCCTTCGTTTCTTCTTATTTACTTTGAATTATGAACATGATAAAATGTTCACGTATTCGACGACGATACCGAAGGATATACATACGTAATCGAGATCAAGCTATTCGTATTTCAGAATGAAGTTTGAAATTGAAATATAGTATCGAGAGTATCGTTGAATTGGAAGTAATGAAACTGTTTATTTCTGAAAGGATATTCGTTCATTCTTCTGGAATTCTAAAATTATTTAATGTACAATATACAGAATGAGGATTTTAGGACAGATTACTTTATTTCATATGACTATAAATCAATTAAACATATGTTAGAATATTTTCAATCTTTATAATATCTATATATTCAAAATAATATTTTTCTAAATTAAACAACGAATCTAATGTTGAGTTTGTAAAATTGTATAAGTTTCTTCTTCCGTTTGACCTGACGTTTTATTGAATATCATTTGCAGCCATTATGGCGACTGAACATTTGATATGAACAATTACCTCGTGAATTATCATATAGTAGCAAAAGAAGAGACACAGCGAAGGGGATATTTCTGTTGGGTGTACATGTCATTGACAGGCGACAAGAACATTTAATATTGTCGAAAATCAGCGATAAAGCACGCAACAGCGATTTCGCAAATCGATAGCTACACTGTTTCTCTCTATTTGTCCGGGAACACAATGATTTCGCAAGCTGCCGCGTAAGCACCCGCCTACGCTCGATCAGAATGGCCGTCAGATTGCGCTTAATCGGGCCTGGATTCTGATTAAAAAATCCACGAATCACGTATGCCGCAACGGTGCAGCCTCATTTGCCATCTGTTCAATTTTGCCACGCGTATCAACAATAGCTGAATTTATGAACTATTTGTACGAGAAACAGGGCAGAATGAAAAAATAGCTCATTAACAAACGTTTCTTTTCCCTAATGACTTATATTTTCATTATTTCATTTTACAAGTACCATAATCATATTTCGCAAAATTTATTTGGAATATTTTCATTTATGATATGAAAGAAATCTTAAATAGTTGTAAATTAATTTCGCTAATTCTATCGTTTTCTATTATTTGGTACACCGTTGAAATATCATTTACAATCGAGTCATTTACCCTTTTGCCCGTTCTTCCTGTTCTGCAGTATGCAATTAGATTAGTAAACTCCGAAATGAGTTTCGAGGAAGGGTAGTTACGCTTATACACATGTCGTTGTACGTATACGAAGTCGTGTGACAACACGTGTAGGTGTCACGAATGAACTTGTCCTCTCGTCGTGTCGCGTACAATGTCATGTGTCATGTTCTTTTCGTGTCTCGCGATACCCGACGCAGAACGCGATTATTGGCTATATTACATTGCACGTACACCGTGTAAAAAGTGTCGCGCGATGAAGTGTTATTTAGCACAACCGGCGATAAGTAAACCAACAGCGAATTATTCTGCACGTGTCGACTAATGAAGGTGAATTTAAATTACTTCCCTTCCAGCTACCCTTTCAAGTATGTCCCTGTTAATATCGTTTCCGTGTTCCCCTATACCTAGCACGAAGTTGTTCCCATTTGAAATTTATATTATATTTTGAAATTGAAGAATTTGAAAGATTAACTGGTTAATCTTGAATATTGCTGAGAAAATTGATTTGAAATAATACAAAGAGGGTTCGTTAAATTTAAGGGCGTGAAAGGGGTGGGAAATTGTCAAAGCTCTTTGAAAATGTCAGCATGGCCCGCATTTCTGAATATTCTGAATCGAATACTTCAGAGGTTCTCGAGACGACACACAGTTCACAAGGAGATCCGTGATCTGCCACTTCCTCTTTTCTTGCTTTACGAATAAATGGAGTAGGTACTACCGTGAAGAAGAATGAGGGTTTAACACCTTTGACTCACTTTTCACGTAACGATCGCTGCAAAAGAGAGCATCGAAAAAGAACAAAGAGAAAAAAAAATGGGATCGATAGGTGATGTATATATGCGTGCCTACGGTCAAAAGGGCTCTCGATCGGTTTTCGTCGAATTTTACTCGTCAAGTACGTGCAATTCCCCGGCTCTCGTATATCGTTGCGTTGGTGAGCGTGAAATTAACTCGTCCAGTGTCCTCGGCAAAGTCTTAAGCTACAATTTGTTCTCTTTACTATGGTAAAAGCTATGATGCTGCTTTTGCAACCGAGAGATCGCTGCAGAAAAGTTTTAAAATATTTTTATTCCTGAATGATGGAAACACATTTTTATTAAAAATAAATATGCCAATTAAAAGTTCTAATACTTGCATACTTTTCTTTGCGTATATCTATATAATTTTTGAATTAGAAAATATGTGTTGAAAGTGTGAAAAGAAAATTCTAAGGATGGTGAAAAATTAAATGGAATGGTAGAAAGTTCGTGAAGCTTAGTAGACTCTTAAAGTCATAGAAAATCTTCACTTTAAAATACAATTTTATAGAACACTGTTGTAAGAAGCATGAAAAAGTTGAATTCCAGTCGATATCGTCGTGAAATTGATTTTAAAATCCATTTTACAATCTGGACTTTGTCCAGAAACGTTTGAGAATTTTATAGCCGTCGAAGTTCGAATAGAGAGTGTTTCGTTCGATAAACGGGAAACGTCGTTTTACGTGTTCGTCGTA